ACTGGGTGCAGTCCCTATGATGAAGATTATCTAAAATATGTTTGATTAGAGTGTCAAGTTCAGGTATTAAGTAATACCTAACATGCAGGCTTTTTCGAAAAATGGATTTGTAAGTCTTCATATATGAGTATCTGATCCAAAGATTGAATTTTTATATTATATATATTATATAAATAAGATATATTCAGGAGAGGAGTCTCTTTCTAGGAGGCACAACGCAAAATTATGCAGTCTTAATTTGTCGTATAGGAAAATCTTACCCATGGCAAAATGAATAATTTTATCAGCACAAAGAAATATGATTGCCTTTGTGATATTGTATTACGTATAATTCCAGGCAGTTTTTTCAATCTTACTCTGGATATAGGTTAAGTTTGTTTCCAGCCTCAGGAAAGTCAAAACAGTATTTTATTTGATATGAACATAATTAGATTTTTTTTATTATTATTCAGGCTCATGGCTTGTTTACCTGATACTATATATTTTTTAATTTAAGATTGTATTTATTTTTTTCCATATATATGAAATATAGTTGTGCTTCTGTTGAACATATTAGTGTAAAGAAAGGTCCATTATTCACTCTCTTACTGTGCTCTCTGATTCCTTTTGATTAATCCTTTTCCCTTGAATTAATTGATATATTTCATGATTATTTTTTATCTGTTAGAAATTTGCAACTACATGAGATCACTTTGATGTTTCTAAATCGTACAGGCAAATTGATATGGGATTGCAATGTGGTATTAACCATTATATGCATGCAGAGCTGTTAAGGTAACCAGAGTCTCATTATCTTTGTTTAGTTGCTTTCCAATTACTGTATATTATTATGACTCCTGGAATTTATTAGGTTTTCAACTACAGTTTATAGTGAAACTTTTTGTGTCCAGTGTGTGCCTTCTTTTCACTGCTGAGTGACCTTGTAAGAGCAAAAGGTCTTTTCTGCAGTATCTAACCTTTATTCTTGTTATTCATATTGCTTTATTTTATTTATTTATTTGTTTGTTTATTTATTTTGAGACATTGGCCAGGTTAAAGTTTTATTTATCAACTTTTCCTTTACTTCTTGTAGATAGATTACTGTTGGTACCTAAATGTTATTAGTTTTACTGTCTTTGTCATCATAGTAGGTTAATATTATTGTCTTTGTAGCTATTACACAGTGTTTGTCTGTAGAGCTGTTTTCTTCTTGTGTCTTAAACTGTTGATCATGGATTGGTGGTTAGAGGGAGCTGCATGTTAGTTCAAATGCAAACCTCACTCACTGTTATTCTCATTGATAATTTTCAGGTCGTTGGTTACTCAAAACTTTTGTTGGCTTGTGGTTCGAAATGTGTTTGATTGGAAATCTTTCTATATATTATTTATATATTTTTGGTTTTTATTATTTCTATTATTATTATTTCCTAAGCATGAATACATGATGTTATTTTAGAATTTTTTTAAGAGTATTGCTTTGGTCTTCAATGTTATATAATGCATGTATTGATTTATTTTCTTTCTCTCTTTTTGTATGTGAATCCTTTAGAATTTGTGTAACAGTACTAATGAGAAATTTCACACATTTTTATGTTATAAGATATTTTTGATATTTTATACTCTAAATCAGGGGTATCAAACATGCAGCCCACCACACTCCCGTGCGTGGCCTGTGGCATATTTGCTGTTTTAGTCTTACAGTCAGCCATATTACCTGATTGAATAAGCCAGTCCTTTGTCTTTTAAGATTATCACTTACACTCACAGTTTTTTTATGAATGAAATAGTCTCCTATGATTGTATGTATCATATGGCCATTTTGTCACGTCAACTCATGATGATCTGGCCCGCATACTGTCTGCTAAGGTAAAATGCGGCCCCTTGGGATAAATGAGTTTGACAGCCCTGCTCTAAACCTTGTATCAGGTCTTGAGTGTGATACTTCATTTCTGTAGTCAGATGCAGCTCAGAGTTACTATGAATTAAACATTGCTATTTTGCTAATCTTCAGTGCCTCATCCTGACCACTTGCTACTGTTGTTTGTATGACTACAGTTATTGTCAATGCTTGCTTATATATTGATTATTTGTTTTATTTTCATGTTATTTATATATTTTAAATCCCACTTCTGCTCCAGGAGACCTTGTTTTCATGAAATCACAGTATTTAAAGTAAATGCTTTTAATAGATCAGATTAGCAGTAGATATATAATCCAATTGTTTCATAGAATTAGTCCAGACAGGCTTCAAGTTGTTATTCCATCATGTACTTCCAAGATATAAAAAAAGAGTAAGCAAGCAAAAGGTATCACAGTTATCTAACCAAGTATGAAACATTCTGACCTTTTCCGTCTTCCTGGCTGGTTAGTTCAGCGGAAGACAGCGGAGCAGGTGAGAGATCTGTCAAGAGGCTCGCCACTCCCTATGTATATACCAGAAAAGGGTTAGTTGGCATTCAGTTTTGCAATTTCTCTTCTCTTTCCTGCTGCCATAGTGGGAATGAGAGTAAATTACAAATGTGTATAGAAAAATAAAACATAGATAAAAGAAAGATGGATTGTTTGATCACACTAATGCTTGGTGGATTCTTAACCGTCATGAGTGATGTGGGATGTCTATTGTAGTGTCTATGCAGAGGTGTTCAGGAGAAGGAAAGTTTTCATTTATCAGAGATGCCTTTGCCTGTTAAAAGAATTGGCATATCTAGCTCAATGTCTGAAAGTTTCAACAATTATAATTGGTAAAGAGATTGATGCAGAATTTAACATTTCCCCCCCAAGTTTTTTTTTATGATATTTTGCTTTGTCGGAATTGCATATCCTGTTTCAAAATTGTAATCAAAGGGATGGCATCATGAGTGTTGAATGACAAGTATCCTTTTGTGTTGTCTGCATGCTTTTTACTTGCTTTTTGGCTTTGTGTCTTTGTTTTAATTGCTTTAATTTGCTTTCAGTTTTTTTTGCTTTTGATGAATTCATAAATATTTTGCAAGCCAGAGTACCATAATGTGCTGTTCTTGTCTAAGTGCAAATATCTGTGATGTTTTAAAATTTAGTATTTTGTTGGTGTTATGAACCCTATGCCGCTTGAAAATGGAGCATTCACTGTTGTTTTGTTTTGTGAAAAGATCTCTACACATAGATGGTTCCACAAGTACTCAACCACCACAAAATCATTTTGTAGACCTTGTGACCTTACCTGGTTTCACCTTTCCCTGAGTGTTTCGGAGAGATGTTTTTAATATTAATGCTATCAGTATCGATGCTGTTATTACAGACATTATAGTATTATAATGTTTTTAACTTTACTAATAGTAATATAAGGTAAAAAAAGGAGATATATCCAAAAGTCAAGGAAAAGGGTAAAGAGGTGAGATAGGTAGTACTAGTGACTAACTCATTGGTGACTGAGTACTTGCAGAGCCCTCTGTGCATAAAGAAAATTCATAAACTAAATTCTCAGTGGGCATAGCATGTACTTACATGTCATTTCCTGGTGGCAGTTGCTTAAAGTGAATCTCATATATACTGTTTTTTTACATACAGTTGTCTCTTGTCATTTTGATTTTAGGACCAAGAAACATGATACAAGAACAGGATTAAGTGGGAAAAGCAAAGGGAATAGGAACACACTGAAATGCTTAACTAATGAAATCAGTATCAAGTGGGAGATGGTACGCAGTTTTTCAATAGGGGTACATTTCACATATATAATGCTGTGAGGTACTAAGGGATAGGATTTATGTGTGGTGTAATATGGTTTTATTAGCGATGAGATTTAATTTATTTGCAGAAGGGTCAGTTTGAATGATAGGTATTCTTCCCTATGCCCACTATTTCTTGGTTTCTGCTGTGCCTGGTTTTAAGGGGTACATCATTGTTGTCAGTTTTCAGTTTTACCTCTTATGGTATTCTGCATTTGTTCCATTTTACTTCTGTCCTTCTTTCTTATTGTTCTTTCTTTTCCTCCTCTTCCTTCCCCTCCTTTCCTTCCTCCCTCTCCTCCTCCTCCTCCCTTTCCTCCTCCTTCCCCTCTTCTTCCTCATCCTCCCTTTCCTCCTCCACCCCCTCTTCCTTTTCCTCCTCCTCTTCTTTCTCCTCATCCTCCTAATCCTAATCCTCCTCTTCCTTCTCACTTCTTCCTCCTCCTCTTCCTTATCCTCCTCCTCCTTTACCTTTTCCCCCTCCTCCTCTTCCTCCTCCTCCTCCTCCTCCTCCTCCCTCTCCTCCTCCTCCTCCTCCTCCTCCTCCTCTTGCATGACCTCCTTCTCCTCCTTCTCTTCTTGCATCTCCTCCTTTTTTCCTCTCTCTTCTCCCCCATCTCTTCCTCCTTTCCCCCTCCTCTTCTTTCTCCTAAACCTCCAGCTCCTCTTCCTCTTCCTCCTCCACCTCCAACTCTTCCTTCTACCCCTCTTCTTCTTCCTCCTCCTCCTTCTTCCCTTCCTCTTCTTTATTCTGTTTCTGTTCCTCTTTCTTCTCCTCTTTCTTTTCATCCTCTTCCTCCTCTTCCTCCTCTTCCTCTTCTTCTTCTTCTTCCTCCTCCTCCTTCCCTTCCTCTTCTTTATTCTCTTTCTGTTCCTCTTCCTTCTCCTCTTTCTTTTCATCCTCTTCCTCCTCCTCCTCCTCTTCCTCTTCCTCCTCCTCTTTTTTCTCCTCTTCCTCTTCTTCCTCCTCTTCCACTTTCTTTTCATCCTCTCCATGTTCTTCTTCCTCCTCTTCCTCCTTCTTTTCATCCTCTTCCTCTTCCTCCTCATCTTCCTCTTCTTCCTTATTTTCCTCCTCATCTTCTTCCTCCCTCTCTCCCTCCTCCTCCCTCCTCCTCCTCCTCCTCCTCCTCCTCTTCATTTTCTTTTTCTTCCTTGTCCTCCTCCTCCTCCTCTTCCTTCTCTCCCTCTTCCTTCTCCTCCTCTACTTGTTCCGCTTCCTCCCTCTCTTCCTTCTTCTCCTCCTCCTCCTCTTCCTCCTCCTCCTCCTCCTCCGCCTTCGCCAATGGTATATAAAGAACTCTTGATACAGGCTTATAAAGCCATTATATTTATCATGTGTTTTCACATACAGTGTACAGATAGGTTTTTAAGATTTTGGAGTTGCATTAAGTGCATAGCTACTGGTATTGAATACTGATTAAACGGATCATCTGAGCTCTGATTATGATATGCATGTGACTAACAGTTTTTTTAATATTTAGTACTTGGCTCATACGCCATATCTCTTAACAAACGAGGAGGAAGTTGAATTTTTTTGGAGTTCTGAAAGTTCTTATAAACATTGTTGTATTTATTTATTTCAATGACCCATTGTACAAATTTTTATATTTCCTTGGTTGTAGAATATTTGTACCTTACTCATGTATTTCAGGGTATCTGTCGTTTTGATATAAGAAACGTGTGAATATCTTTTTTGTATTTCATAAGATGATGCTCAAATTTTGTATGCTCTGTGTGTCTCACATGTGCTTGATTGCAGCTCAATGTACTTTGATGAGGACGGAGACGTGGCTCATGAGTTTTATGAAGAAGTTCCTCCATTAAGGCGTGGGGTGAAGGCGACAATGCGGAGAATACTCACCAATTTAACTCCACAGGTAAGTAACATTGTGTTTATTTGTAAGAAGTGAATATATCTCTCTTTCTCTTCCTTTACCAATATGTTATTTGTAGTCCAGAGGATTGTTGCTTTCATAAATCAGAATTTTAGATATGTATTAATATTGATAGAACAGTTGACATATAAGACATTGTGTTGTTTAGCTGAAAGTATGTGTATCCATTTACTATTTTGTAAAAAAGCCTTTGCTTTATGTTCATTAGGTTTTATAGCTTTAACCTTTATGATTTTACATGACATGCAGGTCTCCAGTATCCACAGGTGTGAATATATTGTGTTTGATTGTAAATAAAAGATTTGTAAATATCATTTTAATGGAACTACCTACAATTCAACTTTTAACTTAAATATGGGTGCTGTCAGAGAATAGCTTGATAGGCTGTATCTAAAGTCTCGTTATCAGTGATTCCAGTAAAGGTGAAATATTCCTTGATGTAAGTGAATCACTAACCAATCATGCGTATGGTTTGTTTTCATATTGTGTGATTGAAGACTAGGAGCATAAAGTTATGCCGTTGATTTTCAGGGTGATGTTCGGCTACCCTTCCCATGCCTGCACGTAGACTTTCCTATCGTCCTTTACCAAGACAGCTGAGAAGAGGAGGGGGAAGGGAGCTTTATGAACTACTGGGCATGCCATTTACCAGACTTCGAAGCCATGGTCGAGGAGCTTTCCAAGTGTTGAAATTCTCTGAAAAGAAGAAAAGAAATTCTTCGTGAATGTTCTGTAGGAAATTCAACACGATAAAGGAATGGTCTTCCCCTCCCCCTGTCAACCTCCTTTTTACCCTTACTCGGAAAAGGAAAAAAGAGAACAGTTTGAATGATGGAAGATTCCTGACACCCTTCCTTCAAAGAGAGGTTGTGGTGCCCCTATCTAGTCTTTAAGCAATGTGAGCAGCATTATGGGAGTCTCAAAGGAATTTAGTCCCATCCAGTTGTTTCAGACCTTTATTGTTGTGTGTATAATAGTTCTGCCATAAGTCATCCTTAACTTTTTTCAGCCTTCTTTTCTTAATGTGTGGAGTACCTGACCACTCCCAAGAATTATAGTTGTTTGTATGTACAGTGCGGCTTCTTTTGCCCTTTCCTTAATATATGCCGGGTTGTGATACCGTGTGATCCTGTTGGAGTGTGTTTCATCTGAAGACAGATGCAAGGTGTACCCTTGTTTTGACAAAAAAGGTGAATTGAATCAACTTTTAAAAGAAGGAAAGAGCAAGTAAAATTTTGAATGATCAGTAATTGCAGTTGCTATTACAAGTCCACAAGTGTATTGGAGTCACACAAAATTAGGTCACAAAGACTTGAAAACATTTTTTTGGCCTTATCTTGCTCAGGATAGGCACATCAGAAAAATTATGTCTGACCTCAGAAAAGTTACCTCCTCGTACTCAATTACATAAGTGATTCCGTTGTTTGCAGTACTGCGAGAAGTACGAAACACAGAATTGAAATATGTAGATGAAGAAAAAATGAATCAGAAGGACAGATGTTGAATACTCAAATGGAAAGTGGCAGTACAACACACAATATTACCTGAAGGTCTGCAAAGATCTCTTTACATGCATGTGGACAATCAAGCAAACATGCAGTCTCAAATTTGAGTACAGTTTTGTTCCCTCGATATTTTACCTTTATTGGATATCCTTTTTAAAGCACCAAGTTTTATTTGGTGTTGAGGCTTACAAGTGTTGTGTTTTCATGTAACCCATAATGTCTGTATGTATGTGTCTTACTCTGTAATGGAAGAGGAATGCAGAAGCCACAAAGCTGGGTGAATCCTTGAATCCTTAATTCAAATAGAATATATATGTACTCTTCCAATGTTGTGTGTATGGAAATGTGTAAATATATATATATATAGATATGATGTGTGTATAATAAACTTATGCATATAAATGATGAAAAACACATTTCCGTGTTAATATAGTAATGAAAAGCTCAGATAGTAAATGCATAACTTTTGATAAACCGGTGCATTTACTGTGTGGGTTTTTGATGGATGCCTATTTATTTATGAAATTTGCTTGTATTATGTGGTATAAATAGTAGTTGAAACTTCCATATGCATCATCTTGTAGGCTGCTGCACTATTGAGTTCAATAGCAAGCCTTGGTGCAACTTGCAAACTTCTCTGCTTGCAAGGAGGAGTGTGATCTTGATGTTTGTTTCTCTCCCTTTCATAACAGCTCTCTGTGCCACAGCAGCTATTTGCATCACATTCCAAAATAAGCAACAGTGAAAAAAAAAAAAATCTTGTTATCTCTAAAGGTCTGCTGAACTCCAAAGAGATGTAGAAAATGTGTGAATATTGTAAAAAAGATTGTAAAATTATTCTTCTCTGAGGTAGGGCGACAAAATGAAGGTGAAGCTGTGTATGTGAGTATTATGGAGAATTTTGAAACAGTTTTTGTTGTCTGTATATTAGGCAAGATTTCTTCCATCATCACTGAAATACAGAGTATAGGGAGTGGATTTCATCATTTGGTTCAAGATAAAAGATACGTAAGAAATGTGATTTTCTCTCTTTCTTTCTTTTTACAATGCCGTTCTTGCCAACATACTAATTGTCATGTTTTTGGATGACCCAAAGGAAAATGTCATGTTTCCTTTTTCACTTCTTTCAGAATAACTTTGGTGCAATATGAAGAGTAAAAAAATTAAAAACAAAGGAACTTGGTTGTGCACATATTTTATTCCTCCGTAAAAGCCAATAATGAGTTCTACCTCTTATTCATAATAGTTTGTTTCAGGTAGTTATAATATTATTGTTGTTCCTATTAATGTTATTCTTGTTATTTATTAATTATCATTATATTATTTATTATTTGTATTATCATTATTTTTAATGTTGTCACTTGTTAATCCTATCATAGTTGTTGATATGGCTGCTTTCCCCTAAAGTTTATTGGGCCAAGCGAAAAGAGTGTTGAGGTTCCTGTAAGTCAACACATAAATTTTAAGGGCTTTTCTAAACAAAGAATTTGTATGATTATTGTTTGAATCTTAATTGCTATTAGACAATGTGATGTCTTTTTGCTTTTCGCTGGGAAGATAAGAATGTGAGAAAGAAAAGACTTATTGCGTTAATTATTTGCAGAATTCAAATTTTTTAGAAAAAAGTGCCGCCTACCATGCCTTGTAACTGTTACGGGAATCTCAACCTTTTATTTCCCCTTAACCTTTTCATCCCTTCAGAGACATGATTTTCTTTTTATGCCTGCAGTTTGTCTTGCCTGAAGTGACTGTTGGAATTGATTGATTTTCTTAAAGATCATTCTACAGTATATTGTGTGTGAGTACTCATAAGCCATAAGAAAATGCTTATTGAAGTGAGCAGTCAGTATGAAACCTGTGTTTTACTTTTGTTAATTAAAATATTTGTGTACCTGTTGCAAGGTAATATTAGCTACCATGTTTTCAGTATAGCCTAACAGCAAATAAAGTCACTGCAATTTTCCACCAGCTAATCTAGAGCAAGTAAAAGTTCTCAGTGTGTCTAGGGTCAGGTGTCAAGCATTGTAACAACTTTGATGCAAAACTACATTAATACTATTGATAAAAATCAATGGGTGATATAGTCTCTAGTGAGAAAGGTCTTGTTCATTCATGGTTTCACACTGGCCATCTTGCTATATTATACAGATAATATCATGATGATACACAAGACTGTAATGATAACTGCATTGATTAAATAGTTGATAACACTACGGAATATGTATAGAATAATGCCTTCAGATCTGTTGTGTGTTTGTGTGTCAGATGCACATGTATATGTGAGATTTTTTATTTACATGATTTAATTCTTATGTATTGCAATTTTATATTATATTGCAGAAGATGGTCAGTGTTAATGTAGTCTTCGAGTTCAACTTCTTAAAAGTGAAACTTGATCGTTCCAGCTCATTTCTGAGGTTGGAAACTAAGAGCCCAATGATTTATATGAATAGTATAACCATGCCTGAAGCAAGCTCTGAGGCACATTAAACTTAAAGCTTTCAAAACACGTGGATAGAAATATTCCATTAACTAGAGATTGCCTTTTTTTCCAGAATAAGACATTTGTTGTTTTAATATTTTTTTGAAGTGAAAGTTATTGGTAATGTGAGCTTGATAGAGAGATTATTCTAAGAGATATCCTGATGACTGGAAATGGACTTGGAAAAAGCCTAGTCACGTGTGTGGTAGATGGATTAAGCAGCACCACGCAGTCATTTCTTACTTTATGCGTTTATAATAAAATTGAGATTATGGATTGACCTCTTTTTTTCAATAAAGAAATGTGATCTATGTATGCTACCATGATCATGTAAAATGCCTGCCTTACATGGTCTTAATTCCTAAAGCCAGTAAATTGTACCAATATCAAGATTTTCTGCTAAAGAAATAATGAGTTCATAGTTTATTTAAT